GAACATAGGTGCAAAAATCCTCAATAAAATACTAGCTAACAGAATCCAACAGCCTAATAAAAGGATCATACACCATGATCAAGTGGGGTTTATCCTAGGTATGCAAGGATTCTTCAATATATGCAAATCAATCAATGTAAAAATGACATTAAAATATTGAAGGAGAAAAACCATATGATCATCTCAATAGATGCAGAAAAAGCTCTCATCAAAATTCAACACCGATTTATGATAAAAACCCTCCAAAAGTAGGCATAGAGGGAACTTATCTCAACATAATAAAGGCCATATATGACAAACCCACAGCCAATATTGTTCTCAATGGTGAAAAACTGAAACCATTTCCACTAAGATCAGGAAGACGACAAAGTTACCCACTCTCACCACTATTATTCAACATAGTTTTGGAAGTTTCAGCCACAGCAATCAGAGAAGAAAAAGAAATAAAAGGAATCCACATCGGAAAAGAAGAAGTAAAACTGTCACTGTTTGCAGATGACATGATACTGTACATAGAGAATCCTAAAGCAGCCACCAGAAAACTACTAGAGCTAATCAATTAATTTGGTAAAGTAGCAGGATACAAAATTAATGCACAGAAATCTCTGGCATTCCTATGCACTAACGATGAAAAATCTGAAAGAGAAATTAAGGAAACATATTTACCATTGCAACAAAAATAATAAAATACCTAGGAGTAAACCGACCTAAGGAGACAAAAGACCTGTATGCACAAAACTATAAAACACTGATAAAGGAAACTAAAGATGATACAAACAGATGGAGAGATATACCATGTTCTTGGATTGGAAGAATCAACATTGTGAAAATGACTATACTACCCAAAGCAATCTATAGATTCAGTGCAATCCCTATCAAACTAGCAATGGCATTTTTCACAGAACTAGAACAAAAAATTTCACAGTTTGTATGGAAACACAAAAGACCCAGAATAGCCAAAGCAATCTTGAGAAAGAAAAATGGAAGTGGAGGAATCAGGCTCCATGACTTCAGACTATACTACAAAGCTATAGTAATTGAGACAATATGGTACTGGCACAAAAACAGAAATATAGATCAATGGAACAGGATAGAAAGCCCAGAGATAAACCCACACACCTATGGTCACCTTATCTTTCATAAAGGAGGCAAGAATATACAATGGAGAAAAGACAGCCTCTCAATAAGTGGTGCTGGGAAAACTGGAGAGCTACATGGAAAAGAATGAAATTAGAACACTCCCTAACACCATACACAAAAATAAACTCAAAATGGATTAAAGACCTAAATGGAAGGCCAGACACTATCAAACTCTTAGAGGAAAACATAGGCAGAACACTCTGTCACATAAATCACAGCAAGATCCTTTTTGACCCACCTCCTAGAGAAATGGAAATTAAAAGAAAAATAAACCAATGGAACCTAAAACTTAAAAGCTTTTGCACAGCCAAGGAAACAATAAACAAGACGAAAAGACAACCCTCAGAATGGGAGAAAATATTTACAAACGAAACCACTGACAAAGGATTAATATCCAAAATTAGAAGCAGCTCATGCAGCTCAATATCAAAAAAACAAACAAACCAATCCAAAAATGGGCAGAAGACCTAAACAGACATTTCTCCAAAGAAGGTATACAGATTGCCGTCAAACACATGAAAGGATGCTCAACATCACTAATCATTAGAGAAATGCAAATCAAAACTACAATGATGTATCACCTCACACTAGTCAGAATGGCCATCATCAAAATGTCTACAAACAATAAATGCTGGAGAGGGTGTGGAGAAAAGGGAACCCTCTTGCACTGTTGGTGGGAAGGTAAATTGATATAGTCACTATGGAGAATAGTATGGAGGTTCCTTAAAAAACTAAAAACAGAACTATCATACGACCCAGCAATCCCACTACTGGGCATATACCCGGAGAAAATCATAATTCAAAAAGAGTCATGTACCACAATGTTCACCGCAGCTCTATTTACAATAGCCAGGACATGGAAGCAACCTAAGTGTCCATCGACTGATGAATGGATAAAGCAGATGTGGCAAACAGATACAGTGGAATATTACTAAGCTATAAAAAGAAACGAAACTGAGTTATTTGTAGTGAGGTGGATGGATCTAGAATCTGTAATACAGAGTAAAGTAAATCAGAAAGAGAAAAGCAAATACTGTATGCTAACACATATATATGGAATCTAAAAAAAAAAAAAAATTGTTCTTAAGAATCCAGGGGCAGGACAGAAATAAAGATGCAGATGTAGAGAATGGACTTGAGGACATGGGGAGGAGGAAAGGTAAGATGGGACAAAGTGAGTGAGTGGCATGGACATATATACATCACCAAATGTAAAATAGATAGCTAGTGGGATCCAGCCACATAGCACAGGAAGATCAGCTCAGTGCTTTGTGACTACCTCGAGGGGTGGGGTAGGGAGGGTGGGAGGGAGACACAAGAGGGAAGGGATATGGGGATATATGTGTAAGTATAGCTGATTCACTTTCTTATACAGAAGAAACTAACACACCATTTTAAAGCAATTATACTCCAATAAAGACGTTAAAAAAATAAATAAAAAATAAATAAAAGCCTTCATTATTGCCCCTTATTACCATTCAGTATGTAAGTCACTGGTAGATTATTGCTACTTTCAGAAAACAAACTAATTTATTAGTGTTGTAACTTATAAAATTTAAGTATTTTTGAGATTCTTTTTTCAAGTTATAATGAAAATTTCCAAATAATCCCAAAAGAAGAGAGAGCAGTACAATGAACTCTCATGTTCCTATTACCCATCTTTGGTAACCATCAACTTTTCACTGCTCTTCAGGAAATTTTTTTGAAAGTGGAGCTTTCATGAATCCCAAGAAAAACCTATAGTCCACTGCAGTGGATTTAGATTAATTAAACATTTCTCAATCTTCAAAAGATTCCATCTTTTTCACTCAGGATGATTTAGCTCAAATTTAGTGGACTAACCTCAGGGAAATGGCTTATTTTCTTATGTGAATAGTTTAATTTCTCTTCATTTCAAAACCAAAGTTAGAATATCAAACCAGAGGGAGAGCTCCAAAGATATTACACTCATCCAGTTATTACTGACTGTTTCCTTAGTGGTCTAGAAGATGCTGTAGACTACTGACACATGTAGGAACATGGGTAAATCTTAAAAGTCATTATGCTAAGTAAAATAAACCACACACAAATGGCTACATACTGTGTGATTCCATTTTTTATGATATTCTGAAAGACAAAACTGTAAGGGCAAAAATCATTTTTAAACTCTCACTAGTTTCTGGATACTTGAGCTCATACTTCCTTCTTCCTGATAACCTATTCAGGAATATCTTAACTTCCCAAGGGAGACAACGGCAGCTGATTTTCCTCTTTTGACATTTTTTCCAGACATGTAAGAAAGTCAGAGATTTCAAAGCAGTACAAACAGAAGGAGAGACTCACTTACAGTTCTGGATTACACGCATGCACACTGGGGTTTGGCTGATCTTAAATGTACAGATTTATCTATTTCATCTTTCATAATGTCTTCTTTATTATACTACATATGGAAATGTCAGTGAAAATTATTAAACTAGAAAATACATTATGAAAGTCATAAAATGTTAGTTTGCATTACATTTCAATCAAGAATTATGGCTAATCCAAAGCACCGTTCATTATCCTTCTCTTTTTCTAGTTCAGTGTCTGTGATACTGGACACTCTGTGGGTATCTAAAAGGTCATTTTCTAATATCCAACAGTAGCCCTTGGGGTTGGGAGAAAACCACCCTGCAGTCGTGGCATGATTGCTTTCATTCCGAGATATAATGCATATCATTTTAGTGAAAGTCATAAAAAGAATGCAGAAACAAAAGTGTGAACTCTAACAATAAATAGGAAAGATGTCCTGAAAATTTCTTTGAAACAGGTGAGAAGTAACTAGATTTAAAAAATAGATAACTCTAACAAGACATTATCACAAACTGCATGATTTATTTTTGTTACTTTGTAGAAAAAAACATGCTTTCCTTTTCCATAAATGTTCTGCAAACAATATTTTCCAAGTATCTTGAATTTACTTCTCATGATATTCTAGGAATTAGACACAGGTCCTGCTATGAGGAGGCTTACAGTGTAGTTGAAAAGACAGAACAGGTTCCACATTTACTCAAAACATGAATGAAGGAGAAGAAATCCCAAAGTAACCAAGTTTACCACAACATGCCAAAATTGGCAGAATTGGGAACTTAAACACTAAATTCAATTTTTAAGAAATAAATTTACACTTTTACACACATTCTCTATAAATGCATGCCTGCAACTATAACCATAAGAGAGTAGAAAGTAAAGAATTTCAGAACATAGGACATTGGTTGAAGTGACAATGATAAAAAAATCAGCAATAGATCATTCCTTAAAACACTTAGGGGGACTTTCTTGGTGGTGCAGTGGTTAAGAATCCACCTGCCAATGCAGGGGACATGGGGTTGAGCCCTGGTCTGGGAAGATCCCACATGCTGAGGAATAACTAAGCCCGTGCTCCACAACTACTGAGCCTGCGCTCTAAGGTCTGCGAGCCACAACTACTGAGCCCACATGCCACAACGACTGAAGCCCGTGTGCCACAACTACTAAGCCTGCACTCTAAGGTCTGTGAGCCACAACTACTGAGCCCACATGTCACAACTACTGAAGTCCGTGCACCTAGAGCCCACGATCCGCAACAAAGAGAAGCCACCAAAATGAGAAGCCCGCGTGCAGCAATGAAAAGTAGCCCCTGCTTGCCGCAACTAGAGAAAGCCCACAGCAACTAGAGAAAGCCCACACGTAGCAACAAACACCCAACGCAGCCAAAAATAAGTAAATATATAAAAAAACAAAAAAACACTTAGGGATGGTTTTGTGCATATTTTAAAAAAATGAAAATATCAAGAAATGCCAGATTATAGAGAAAAAGGCAGTTTTGCAAAATCATTTTATTCAAAAATGGTTCATCTTACCTCAGCTACCAGTTGCTGAAGAGATGGTGAAGCTACAGAGTAGAGACTTGAGTTACCGCTTACAGGACTGTGGAGACTAACATAAGCCACAACATTCTTCTGCAGAACCTTCTTGAAATCCTGACATTAAAAAAAAAAATCTATCTTTAACAGAAATAAAAGTAAGATTCCACTTTACCAGTTACATGTTGAATAATAAACACTTCCTACCTAAAATAATTACATTGCATAATACTTGCTTTTTTTTTAATGTAAAGCCATCCCATACTATTTACTAGAGTACCCAAAGGTCATAAAGGGGGTTTAAATAAGGGTGGTGAGGAGTTTCATATAACATACAATAAAATATTTAAAGCATGTTCATGTTCCTAAAAAAGGTAAAAATTTAAGAGAAAATGTCCCTATATGGTTAATATAGTATGAGATTCAACTTCAGAATACAGGATGGAATATTTGCTCTAGTGACAGCATTTAATTTTATAGTCATTGAATTAGAGAACAGACATGGATAAATCACTTCGTGTTTAATAAAACCAGCCCTTTCCTTTGAAGTGTTGAGCTACTTTTTGCACAAAGCAGCTTTTTATTCTGAGCAAAATAGGGCATAATACAATTGTGGCCTTGCACATATTACTTGAAGTAGAACCTGATGCATTTCATCCACATTAGTAGAATAAAATGATTCAGTGTAATAGTTTTTCCACTTTTCTGCTAAACCCTACTTCCAAAAATTGAAGACCACTGATCCTATTAATAATGTACCACTAAGAAGTCCTTCTGTTATTTGCTTCCTTTTCTTGTGCAAATATGTAATGAGTAATTATCATGATGGCAGTTCTATAGATATATCCTAAAAATTGTATTATATTATTTTGTATCTTAGAAACATATCTTTCTTCTTCCAACACTATCAGATGAAAGTCTGCAAGGACTAGTACACCTAGCAAATCAATAATATTATTCCTAGTTCATGTTGAAAATTCAGCTATACCTCTGTAAAAGAAGTGAAAAGACAGTTTATTTAAAAATAAATATTTTAAATAAATAGAAATGATGAACTGTGGTTTACACATAATATTGTTATTAAAAATGTCCATTATTACACAAGAGCTATAGAAAAACAGCTTCTATTTACATACTACCACAATGACAATGTCTATATGTCAGTCCATTTAACTCTCATGAGAACCTCACAACCTAGGCATTAGTGTACTCATTGGAACAATCAAGTCTTGAGAAGTTAATCTTGCCTAAAACCACTTGTTTTATTGTAGAGAGGATTTGAACTCAGATTTCTTTGACTGCAAAGTCTATAGTATTTCCACAATAGCCTGAAGATGAAGATTCTTCACAGGAGAAATGGTACTTTTTTTTTTTTTTTGCTCTATGTGGGCCTCTCACTGTTGTGGCCTCTCCCGTTGTGGAGCACAGGCTCCAAATGCGCAGGCTCAGCGGCCATGGCTCACGGGCCCAGCCGCTCTGCGGCATGTGGGATCTTCCCGGACTGGGGCACGAACCCGTGTCCCCTGCATTGGCAGGCGGACTCTCAACCACTGCGCCACCAGGGAAGCCCGGTACTTTTTAAAGAACCTATTTAGTAAAATGTTTTAATTTTCCTCAAGGATTGAAATCAGTATTGAGTCAAATCTCTAATAACTTTATCACTATAAATTCCATTTGACCAGTATAACCTAATCTTTTTAATTACACCTCTGAGTTTCAAGGGGTTCCTGTGTAAGCAAAATTAGAAAGGGCATTATGACCTGTCAACAAGTGCTTTCCTTACTCATCTTCATTAGGGAATATATTTAGTGCACAAATTGCTTTCTTCTAAAAGAAAATCTTTCATTTTCAAAAGGAGTAGGTTTGATAAGAGTAGACAGAACAGTAAAACTAACAGTTTTCTAAATTCCTCCTCAACCAGATTGTTACAAAAAGGCTTCATGAACTGTATTGAAATAATCTAAGATCCAGAAATTTACAATAGTACATTTTATAAGCTAATAATCAAATCTATATATTATTCACCATTTTCTTTGCTTATATATTTTTGCTCACCTAGTCAAGGAAAAAGCCAGAAAGTGACTGGATGTATAATTAGTTGTCAAATATGCATACATACATATAATAAATACTCTAAGACAGAGGTCCCTAACCTTTTTGAATAGGAAGAGACTTTTCTACCATAAACATTTTTTTCCTATAGACTCCCCACAGTATAGTAGTTGTATTTTTAGTATCTGTTGATTGAGAAACTATAAAATTACCAAAAGGTACAATAGAGTCAATAAATAAAATATTTTATTAACTACAAAAATATTTACTTAATTTGAAAATGTAATTGTTCACATACACACAAGGTCACAATACTGAACAAACTGCAGGTTACCATGCATGATGCTCAAATAAATTCAAGGACTATCTGCAGTACACTTCACTTTCCTACGCAGAGGGGTTAAGGATATTTAGGAATTTAAGTTAGAACTATTAATGTTACACAAGCCTACTTTGAGAACACAGCTTAGAAATACACATGCTAATTTAGAATTAACATGAGTTGACTATGAAAATTATTAGATAGATATGGAGAAGGCTGTATGAGACAGTAGAATAAATTTTTGGAAAGAATCTTAAAGACATTTTTTAAAAAATGTGCCTTATTGTTACAAGAAAACTAAAACATTGTTTTCTTTATGATAAAAAAATTCTGAATTAGTAAAATCATCCCAGATCACAAATACACTCCCCAGATTGTTTTTGAAATTGTTTATATCCTTAAAGTATGGAATTTGGAATAGAAGTTTGAGAGACTGGTTCAGCTATTACATTTTCCATCTTACTAAAATTTGTCAATTTTAAAATGTTCTGTCAGCAATGGAATTTATTTGAACTAGTTCTTTTGAGTAATGGGAAAAAATTCACACCACTAATTTGAATACAGAAAAGCATTTCAATTTGCAATGTGTGAATCTTGATAAATTTTACAACTGTAAAATTTTTCTCATTTTGAAGACTTCTTTCTCTCAAATTAAAAAGATCTTTGCTATTTTCTTTTGTATACCTTTTTTGATTTTTCTTGAAAGCCAATAGACATTTTATCTTTTTTTTTTTGAGTGATTAAATGAAAAATGAAACAAGAGAATTTCTCATTATATATTTGAGATTTTTTCTGCAAAGCTGAAGCAGTATACAAACTAGGATATCAAATGGTTTTATTTTCCTAGCTAAAGTTATGTAGG